CAATATTCAGTAGCAGTCCTTAAAAAAACAAACGAAATGATATGCATTCTAAACATGCAAATTGGGGTTTGACGGATTTTAAGTAAATTACTCCAGTGCATCAATGATTGCGAAATAAAGCCTGTCACATATTAAAGCAAAGCAATAAGGATAAAATATCCAAAGCCTTTAAAATCAAGAAGTACTTTTTTTTTTTTTTTAATCATAGATTCCCATGCCTCCTCCACTCAATTCCCATTCTGAATCTGTGTGTGCTGGAATGGAGCGTGGGAAGAGAAAAATAATTTAAAAAAAAAAAAAAAAGCTCTTCCAGAGATGAAGATGCATCTACTCTTCGACCAGCACTTAGGAACTACTGCAGGTGATGTAAATGGAGAACTGAATATGCCCTCCTTAGATGATTTCTAAAGAAATGCTAACTAGTTGGGGGGCGCCTGGGTGGCTCAGTCGTTAAGCGTCTGCCTTCGGCTCAGGTCGAGATCCCAGGGTCCTAGGATCGAGCCCCATATCGGGCTCCCTGCTCGGCAGGAAGCCTGCTTCTCCCTCTCCCAATCCCCCTGCTTGTGTTCCCTCTCTCGCTGTGTCTCTCTCTGTCAAATAAATAAAATCTTAAAAAAAAAAGAAAGAAAAGAAATGCTAACTAGTTGGGCTTGCTGAGCAACTGTCTCACAGCATATAACTTAACTCCTGACAGCAAAAGCTAAGTGCAAACTTGCCTCTCAGGAACCAGTGAAACGACCAGTTAACTGGTGCCTAGAAAATTTATGGTTTCCAAGCAGATTAACCCCCCTTGAAGACCAAATTCCACTGGGAGTTTAGATGCTAATTTTGGCACCTGAAAAAAGTCCTAAGTCTCTAAACAGAGCCCAAATAAGCATTTTAGAGTACTTTAAGAAAAAGATCAACTTCCTATTTAGAATAGTAATGCTATACCAACTTCTTATCACGGGATATACAAGTCCCTAAAACTTGCTACCAGACATTTCAAATGAAGTGAGAAAATGAACAAAGAGAGGAGAGAGGAGCAAATGAAGGGACAAACACTGAAGCAAAACAAATGTGGCAATACCTTCAAAAGACCTATTACGTTAGATGTGAGATGATTTACACAGTACATACGTATGTCATTGTATTAAAGGATGGAAGTGAAACAGTTCAAAATATAAAGTTAGAGGACCCTAATAGCTAAGCCACCTCCAACTCTAATCTTGCTGCACCCCAGGCCAACTGAATCACAATTTCTGGAGGTGGGATCCAGTATATTTCAAAGCTCCCCAGAAGATTTCAAAATGCAGCCAAGGTTGAAAACCACTATCCTAAACCTTGGGAGTAAAAAAGCAATAAAAAGATGAACCCCACACAGTTACAAGTTCTCCAAAGTGCAAACAATTTTCATTTAAAATGTAAATAATATAGTCTTCAAGCTTAAATGTATTTACAATTATCACCAACTTTAAATTAAGATGTTATAACAATCTTTACAGTCTCTGGTATCTATTTATCTGACCTATGATATAATTTGCAGTAGCAAATAACCAAGACTTAAATTATAAGGTTCTGACCGCCTATCATCATCTTAGTGTTACATAAGTAAGCACTACCCTAGTTTCTATCCACTCTCATGGTTAAAACAAATTTTCCTGGATGCCAATCACACCACAAAATAATGTCAAGGTGACACAACCTAAAATACCTTGTTCATGAGAAACTGGAATTCAGCCACATTTCCCATCACCAAAATTACACATTTTAAAATGAGGAAAAAAATCCAAAAATTCTAAATCTGACTCATTACCAAGCATATGTTTTGTCATATTATGATGCAAATGGTATCATACTGAAAATTGCTCAAATGAATATCTACACATATTTGTTAACTGTTTGTCTTTTTAAAACAATCAAATCTTCATCAGCTGTTGGGTAAAAATCCCAAAATTTGATAATTTAACAAAATTATCCTGTGTTATGGTGATCCAAGTCCTTCAACTCTCATTTAGTGCAGAAAAGAATGAAATCAATGAAACTGTTTTAGTCATGTTAGTTTTTTACACATGATTAAGCATCATTTCAGAGTCAACCTTTAATCACTTAAGCAAAACAAAAATTTCTGCCTAAATACACAATCTTCTAGAAAAAAAGGAAATCAAAACATGTACAATGAGCACTGAAATGGCCAACATAAGATTTTAAAGACCCATTCACTCTAAAAATCACTGAATGAAAAATGAAAAAAAGTTAGGCATAAGTTAGAGATGGACAATGTAGAACTGAAATAAGTTTAAATGTAAGAAAAATAATGTACTCACCAAAATAGGCAAACTTTTAGATGAGACAAATTATGCATTTTAAATATAATGAACAAGGCAGATCCTGTAGGGTTAACTGCTCTAGTAGAGGCCTCAGCAACTCACAGCTCAATTAGAATAGCATCTAATGATGTTACTATAACACCAGCTCAATCAGAAAAAAAAACAGCTTCCAAGCCAGAGAGCTGGAGTGTGACTGGGCAGCATAAATTAGTTTAATACTTGCTCTTTAATTGGGGGGGGCGGAGGGGGAGGACCTAAAGGGAATGCAGAAAAAATAATTCACACACAAAGAAACAGCTTAAGCTTAAGGAAAGTGAAGCATACACAGATTTTTAGAAATGATTTGCTGCTTCATAGTATAAGCAGAATTGCTTCAAGTAGCAAAGCCATCAGAAAGGCCAATGATCCATATAAAATGTATTCTAAAAATTTCAAATTCACTTTCTCATCCCAAATTTTCATTAAATCTTGGCGCCTGGGTGGCTCAGTCAGTTAAGCGTCTGCCTTCGGCTCAGGTCATGATCCCAGGGTCCAGGGATCGAGTCCCTGCTCGCTTCTCCCTCTGCCTGCCACTCTCCCTGCCTGTGTTCTCTCTCTCACTCTCTCTCTCAAATAAATAAAATAAATAAATAAAATCTTAAAAAATTTTTTTTCATTAAATCTGCAACTGATTTGCAGTTCTTTTCTAAGCTCAAGATTTACAATGATGGCACTTAGCTAAACAGAGAAGCTTCTACTTAGGCACTCCCACCTCAAAAATAAAAAAATTAAGATGTAATATCTCTTTAAAGCAACCTCACCCAAAAACCTGGAAAGCAAAGAAAAAGCCACTTCTATTAACAGACTCACAAAATGTTATATCAATTTTCTCTAGAAAGGCTTTTAGTTTTAATTCCAACGACTTAAACCTACATAATTCATTACCACCTTCAGACCTAAAAATACTGCAAATCGTAAATGCTCAGCCTGCCTGTATTACTCTGATCTGTAACAAGCCCTTTTAAGAAAACAAAATCATAACTTATGAAACATTAACAGAATATCGTATTTTAAAATATTAATTATATCATTTACAACTTGAAATGTCATATATTAAGCATATCAGAACTTTTCAAAAGACAAAATAAGAAGTCCTTAGCAGAAAAAGAAAAGTTACACATTAGAACTTCCTACGCTGTATTTCAACTGAAATACATTTAGTCTCGGTACAACAAGGCAAAGGCAATTTATGAAATCCACAATAAATCCGCTATTTATTCCGATGCAATGTTCTAAATCTGATTAGTTTTTGAAAGTATGCATTTCTTTATTTTCTCCTAAGGCTACATGGTCTCTTCCAACAAAAATACTGAACCTATTTTTTAAAACCCACATAATCGAACTGCTATCGAGACTAAAAAGATGCTAATTCTGGCAAAAGTCAAAGGTTGTTAACAAATTAGCCAAGATTACATGCCTTTAGAAAATTAATTCAGACTAATTAAAATGATTCCAGATTATCTTGTATTTATAATTCCGGAATAACCCGCAGTTTCACCTTAAACTATGGTGCAAAAATTAAAGGCATTAAGAAACTAAATTGAAAATAATCAGAAATAGGGGCGCCTGGGTGGCTCAGTCATTAAGCGTCTGCCTTCGGCTCGGGTCATGATCCCGGGGTCCTAGGATCGAGCCCCACGTTGGGCTCCCTGCTCGGAAGGAAGCCTGCTTCTCCCTCTCCCACTCCCCCTGCTTGTGTTCCCTCTCTCGCTGTGTCTCTCTCTGTCAAATAAATAAATAAAATCTTTAAAAAAAAGAAAAAGAAAATAATCAGAAATAAATATATTCATTAAAAAAATTTTTGCTAGGGTTTTCAGGGGGGGGAAATAGCTATCAATCATCAACAGAGTTTTTAAAAACCTCCCCATACCCGCAAAGAAATCTTTCAAGTTAACCAAACACACCCATTTCTTTGAAAATCTTGCCTGAGAAATTATAACCCCAGTTTGGGGCATGTGATGGAGCCACCGCCCTACATCCTACACCAATTTCACTCTCAGTACTTGTAGTCCTAGCAATAAAATAATCCATGTCTTTTATTTTTTATTAGGAGTAGGTGGGGCTGGGGGTGGCGGTCAGTCAGGTGCTGAGAATGCCTCCCGCATACCGCCATCACCTACAATACTCAAAAAAGTGAGTAAACACATCAAAGCCAGAAACAAAAACTGGAATGACACAACCAGGAAGGGAAAGTAAAGGACAAAGAGAAAACAAAAATTTCCTTGAGAAAAGAAATTAAGGCAGGCCATTTACAACTTTCATTTACACCTAAAGCGACACACTCCAGCCTACCCGGCGCGCTCGGCTGGGGCGGACAGTGAAACTACTCAAGAACAACAAAGAGAAGCGGCAGCCGCAGCGGGAGTACGGGTCCGAGTTTAACTTGATTCGGCCACACAACGCAAGGGGAGTTCGGGGCCGGAGGACCGGGCCCGGAGCCCGAGGGACGCGAGGCCCCGCGGCCCCGCCGGCCCTGCGTTGGGGCCGCCGGCCGGGCCCGTCAGGGAGCCGCGCTCGCTCTCCCCGCGCACCCGCCGGCCTCCCGCTCGCTCCCTGCCGCCGCCGCCGCCGGGAGCCCGCCCCGGGGCGGGGAAGCCGCGGGCGGGGTGCGCGGGCCCGGCCGGGGGAAGGGGAGGGGACATGGCGCGTTACCTGGGTTCGGGCGATGGCGAGGAGTGTCCGCTCTCCCGCCGCGTCTCGTCCGCGGGGGCGCCGGGCCCGTCGCTCCCCCGGCGGCCCGGAGCGCTCCTCGGTCCCCGCCCCGCCGCGTCCGGGCCAGGCCGCCCCTCCTCGGCGCCGCGCCACAGCCCGCGCGGGCCGCCTCGAGCTCCCGGGCCGCCCCGCGGCGCGGTGCCTCTCTCGCTGGACCCCGGCTCCCCTCACCCGCTCCTGCCGCCCTGGGCGGCCGTGGAGTTAAGGGGAGGGCGGGCGCGAACGCGGGCTCCGCCACCCGAGCCGCTCCGTTACCGCAGCGGCGACGACGACCAGGGCCGTGTTGTTGCTGCCAACTTGTCGAAAGGACACTGAGCATGCGCGAACGGAGACCACATCCGGGTAATTTCAGGGTTCGGCCCTTCCCCCCCCCGCGCCCCGCAGCTTTCCTTTCTCCCGGCTGCCCCCGCCTCCCGCCCGCAGTGACGGGAGGATCGCTCTGCGCCTGCGCCCGTGAGGCAGCGCCAGTCGGTTGGCTGCCCAAGAGTCCGGTTGTGGGCTCCGGCACTGACTGAGGGCGCTGCCCTACAAAGGCTGCTTGGAGGGAGTTCATCAGAAAAATTGGCATCCCTTTGCAGTAAAGTACTCAAGCAGCGCGGGAGAGCTCGGAGTAGAGTGGGCGTCCAGTAAGTGTTTATAAATAGCGATCAGCCGGCCCTTGTGTTTTGAGGACCTGCGGGCACAAAAATTAGGCTTGGACAGCCAGCTCCAGGGTGAAGGTGGTTGTAGCGGTTTACTTTGGGAAGAAACTGGCAATGGCCGCACCTTCCCTTTCCACCCGCCCTGGATCACTAGATCCAAAGGTGTTTAAACTTGCCAAATCCCTTTTGGGCTTAAGAGATGCACAGGAGAGTCAAGGAATTACACATTTAAGAGTCTGGTCAGATGTTACGAAAAGTGAGTGGAAGAGATTTAGGTGGAACCTCAGAGTTGGAAGGGACCTTCAAGGACCTACAACACAGCTGTTAACTAGGTTGGTAAACTCTGCTTTTGAATTAATACTTCATTTGAAAGTTTTCCAAGATGCATGCATTTCTTTAATATTTAAAAAGTTTCAGAAAACACATACTAATTATATATTTTTAAATTTTTATTTTATTTTTTGCTACCACCTAGAAAATACTTCCATTGGGGGAATCGCATGAAAACTAATTACTGGGAAGTTCTAAAATCATTTCTTAAGTCTGGTCACCCTCCTACCTTTCACACACAGTGTCCTACCCCCTACTCCCATGCTGTCTTCCCCACCATCACATCCTGTGCTCTTACCTCTTCTACTAGAAAGCCTCCACAAGTGTCATCTTCACTGGTAATTACTCCTGGGGTTCAGGAAGACTTTCCAAGACTAGTTTTAAGGTAATTCATTTACAGAACTTGCATTGCTATATGTACTATTTAATAAAATTGTTCAGCTTGAGAAATCACCTGAGGACAGAGCGTCCTCTTTCAAAACTGTCCTCCCACCTGACAGAACAAAGTAAAACTCTCACCCATTACTTAAGGTGCATCAACTCAAGATGTATTTTTTTTTTTTAAGAGAGAGAGAATGAGGGCAGGGAGGAGCAGAGGAAGAGGGCAAGAGAACCCCAAGCGGACTCCATGCTGAGAGTGGAGTCCAATGCGGGGCTCAAACCCACAACCCTGAGATCATGACCTGAGCTGAAATCAAGAGTCCAACACTCAACTGACTGAGTCACCCAGGCACCCAACCCAAAATGTAAAAACCTCCAGGGAAATTAAAAGGGACAAATCAGAAATTGGTGTCTGTGATGAGAAAGTGAATGATCTGAATGAATGGGTTATAAATTCTTTTGCAAGTCAGGTGGTTTCCAGTTCTTTCCTGTCAACAAAATTGAAGGAAGGTCTAACTAGGTGATTTGGTAATAGATCAACATGTGGTTTCTAGGCAGTATACCTCAAAAGGAGTTAAAAGTAACACTGCTGTAGGGACATCTGGGTGGCTCAGTTGGTTGAGCATCCAACTCTTGATCTCAGCTTAGGTCTTGATCTCAGAATCATGAGTTGAAGCCCCACCTTGGGCTCCACATTGGGTGTGTGTGGAGCCAACAGTAACATCGCTGTAACTAAACCTCTTCCATCGCCATCTGTGTTAGTTATTACTGTATAATAATTTAACCGCAAATTTAGTTGGGTCCTCTGCAAGATCACAGAATGAAGTTTGCCTGGGAAAGGATGCACTTCCAAACTGTTCTTGGCGGCATTCAGTTACCTGCTGGCTGCAGAACTGAAGGCCTTAGTTCCTTGCTCACTGTCAGCTGGAGGTCCCTTCAGTTCTTTGTCATGTGGCCCTCTCCATAGGGAGTGGAAGCTTACTTACAATATGGCAGCTTGCTTCTTCAAAGCCAGCAAGGGGGAGAGTCTCCGTGTAAGACACTGGTAACAACCTTATGTAACACAATCATGTATGCATAATCACATACATCCTGTCACCTTTGCCATACTCAATTGGCCAGAAGCAAATCACAAGTCCCACCCTCACTCAAAGGAAGGAGACCACACAAGGGCACGAATGCCAGGAGGCAGGGATCATGTGGGGCCACATCAGAGTCCACTACACCATCTATTTATTTATGCAAATAATAATCCATGCAACCCCAACCTCCTCAGAATTTCTCTTCAGGTTGTCTTCACTTTCTTGGTTAAAGGAAACCTGACTTTCCCCCTGGAACAGTGCGTCCCCTGCACCCTCCCAAGTAGTGGCAACTGTGTTTTTGACCACAAGCCTCTCAGACTGTACCTGGAAGTGGGGTAGGTGTCCTCCTTGCTCCTCAGTAGACCATCCCCTTTTCCCCCTACTAATCTGCAGCTTTAAATCTTGTTATCCAGAACCCCTCATCGTCACTTCCATTTCTCTTCATATTTTCACCATTTGCTCCTGTCAGTCACTCCAATACCACTTCTGTCTTAATCCTAGGTGCTTTTAATGTACATGTGGGTGATCTTCCCAATACCCTGACCTCTTGGTTCTTTGACTTCTCCAGGGATTTTGTCCTACCCTAACTCAGCCACTCACTCCCATGGGCATAATCACAGAAGGAAGACTTATCAAACTTGGCAACTTCATTATAATCATGATTTCAAACATCTTATACTCTGAACACCATCTCATATTTCCAAATTTTGTTGCAGCGATTGTTCAAAGTACATATCCACTCTCACCCATCCTTACCCAGCTTAAACCCCTGGCCAATCACTGCATCACTCCCTTGCACACACCCTCAACCCCAGTACTTTCTTCCCCGTTGCTGTGTGTGCTCGGCAAAACCACAATCCTGATCAAGCCAGCTCACCTACTCCACACCAGCACCCCTGCATCTGAAAGTGGTTAAAGAAAAACACAATCACGCTAGTGAGTTTCACTTTAATTTCATCACTCTTAACCTCCAATGGGCCATTAGTGTTGCTCCAGAATCCCACTTCCCTCCTCTGTTCTTCTGGATTTCATACCTCTCTGTCCTCTAACCTACACCTCCTTCCCTTTCATCCTCATTTCTCAGTTAACAACCTTGCTTCCTTTTTCATTGAGAAAATTGAAGCAATGAGATAAAAATCTCCACAGAATCCCATGATCTCATCTACCCATACCCATATGCCAACATCTATAACCTCTTCTCCACCTTACCCTCCATTATGTAGTTGAATTTTCCATGCTCCTAGCCAAAGTCAGTCCCTCTGCTAAGGTAACAAATCCCAATCTTGGCTTGCCTAATCTTATCAGTGCTTCCCTCTATGCTGGGTCATTCCCCTCAGCTTATAAGCAACTGTTATTTCTCCAATCATACAAAATCTCTTTGACCCATTTCCACTGTCAGCTACTGCCCCATTTCTCTACTTCAATTCCAACAAAACTTCTAAAAGAGTTTTCTATACTTTCTGTCTCTAGTTCTCCCCTCTCTGTAGCAGAATACATGCCATATGATACAATTTATACAAAGTTCAAAAACATGCCAAATACAATGCCTATGATAGGACCATATACATATGTAATAGAATCATAACAATGCACACAAGGTTACATATGTGGCATATTTTAGGTATCCCGCTGAGCAGGTCCCACCCTCTCTTAAAGCAACTTCATTCATGCTTTCCATCCTTCCCACTCTATCAGAACTATTCAAGGTCAACAATGAACTTCATATTGCCTAAGTCCAATGATCTATTCACAATTCTCATCTTAATTGACCTGTCTGTAACAGCTAACACAGCTAATCACTTGATTTGCCTTTTTTTTTTTTAACCATATAATCTCAATTTTCCTCCTTCATCACTGGTCCCTCTTTCCCTGTCTTATTTCTTCTTTGTTGATTCTCTTTTCCCAGAGCTAGGGAATGACAATGACCTAGGGCTCATTGCTTGGATTCTTCTCTTTTATATCTATACTCATTTCATTGGTGATCTTATTAAGTCTCCTAACTTTCAGTACCATCAGAGATATATGATATCATCATATATGATGACATTTCCAAATTTATATATTCAGCCCAGACATCTCATCTGAACTCCAGATTCTGATACCCAGCAGTCTACTATACATCTCAAACTTACGCCACAAACTGAAAAAAAAAAAAAAAATTCTCCCTCAAACCTGTTCAACCCACCGATTTTCCTATCTCAGTTGATGACAAGACCATCCTGCAAATTTACAGATCAAAAACCCTAGAGTCATGCTGGACCTCCCTCTTTCTTTTATATCTCATGTCTAGTCCGGATTCAGAGCATCCCTTACCATCTCCACTGCTATCTCCTGGTCTGAGCCACCACCATCTCATGTTTGGATTAGTCTTCTAAAAGCTCTCCCTGCTTTCAGTCTTCCCCTTAGAGTCTGTTCTCTACATAATAACCAGAGTGATCCTCCTAAAACATAAGTCAAATCATGTCACTCCTCTGCTTAAATCCTTACAATGGCTCCTCATTTCACTCAGTGTAAAAGTCTTTGTCCTTGGGGCGCCTGGGTGGCTCAGTTGGTTAAGCGACTGCCTTCGGCTCAGGTCATGATCCTGGAGTCCCGGGATCGAGTCCCGCATCGGGCTCCCTGCTCAGCGGGGAGCCTGCTTCTCCCTCTGACCCTCCTCCCTCTCATGCTCTCTGTCTCTCATTCTCTCTCAAATAAATAAATAACATCTTTAAAAAAAAATAAAAAGTCTTTGTCCTTACAGTAGTCTACAGGGTTCTATAAGATCTGGATCACCACCCCACCCCATCATTACCTTTCTAATCTCATCTCCTGTTATTCTCCTGGATGCATCTGCTGCAGCCTTACTAACGTCCTTTATTGATCCTAGAAAATACCAGCCACATTCCTGAGTTAGGGCCTTTGCATTGGCTCTTCCGTCTGCCTGGCACATATTTCACCCAGATATCTGCAGTACTAACTCCCTAACCATCTTTAGCCAAATGTCATCTTCTCAATGAGGCTGACCCTAACCTTTTTAAAATCACAACTCGGGACGCCTGGGTGGCTCAATCCATTAAGCGTCTGCCTTCGGCTCAGGTCATGATCTCAGGGTCCTGGGATCGAGTCCCGCATCAGGCTCCCTGCTCTGCAGGGACCCTGCTTTTCCCTCTGCCTCTGCCTCTCTCTCTGTCTCTCATGAATAAATAAATA